CAGGCCCCAGGGGTCCCCAGGAGCTGCCCCATCCTGCCCCAGGTACAGTCAGGCCCTGTGAGCTGCCCCCGTCCTCCCCCAGGTATGTCCAGGTCCCAGGGGTCCCCAGGAGCTGCCCCATGTACGGCCAGGCCCCAGTGGTCCCCATGACAGGCCCTGTCATGCCCCAGGTATGGCCAGGCTCTGGGGGTCCCTGTGAGCTGTCCCAGGTACGACTGGCCCCCAAGGGGTTCCCAGGAGCTGCCCCGTTCTGCCCTAGGTCCACCCAGGACCATCACACACTGTAACATTCCCACTGGCGACAGCCAGAGCTGCTGGATGCCAGAGGAGAGGTCAGATGCTAGAGGCACAGAGGGGGCAAGGCTGGGAGCTCTTCCAAGAGCCCCATGCAGCCGGAGACGTGGCACATCGCCTTCGATCCCCTGCTCTATGGTGCTCCTGTTACGAGTGTGGGGGAGTCAGGGCCCTGCACCCCTCTTCCTGAGATTCACCGTGACTCCCAGCCAGCTGGTAAAACAGAAGGTTTATTAGATGATAGGAACACAGTCCCAAGCAGAGCGTGTAGGTACAACCAGAACCCCTCAATCAAGGGGGGTTTAGGGAGCTTAGACCCCAGCTCGGGGTTCCCTGCGTTGCACCACCCAGCCCAAAACTCCTCCAGCAGCTTTCTCCCCCCTCCCCTCTGCTCCTCCTCTCCTTTGTCCAGTCTCCCGCTCCTGGCTCAGGTTACAGCTCAGGTAGCTTCCTTCAAGGGAAGTCCCCCATCCCCAATGTAACTCCCCTGCAACATTCCCAGGTCAAATCCGCCCCGCTCCCTGCTCCATCACAGCTCCTCTCTGGTCAAGTGCTACACAGTCCCAGGGCTCCCTCCCTGGCACGGTCTCTCTGCTCTGCAGTACGAGCGACTCCTCTACGTGCTGGACCTGCTCCTGGGCTCGAGGCAGCCAGTGCTCCTGGCCGGGGAGCCCAGCTGCGGCAAGTCATCCTTCGCAGAGCTGCTGATCCAGCCCAATCACTTCTACCATCGTGTCGCCATCTCGCCTGCCCTCGGCGCGGACCACGTGCGCCGGCTGCTGGAGAGCCACATCCTGAGCAGCATGCGGGACAAGGCCCTGTTCACCGGCCTCCCTGGGTCCCGGCCCCCTGGCGCCAGGGGCGGGAGGAGCTGCTACCTGCTCCTGCTGGATGACCTGCACGCCGCCGAGCTGAGTGAGCCCCCGCCTCACGTCAGACAGTGCCCTGGGCCGAGCTGGAAATGGCCACGTATCTTCTGTGGGGCCTGGCTCCCCCGGCTCGGCACGGCCCTGCTCCCCCTCCTTGGCCCAGACACCCCCTCCCCAGGGCTCTGCAGGGCCTGGCTCCCTCTGCCTCG